GCACAGTCAGACACGCTGAATTAAGCAACCCCAGGGTTTGGGGGGTTTGTTTGCTGTTTGATCCAAGATCCTGCTGCAAACTCAATCCCTCCCTAAGTCTGCTCAGAGCTTCGGCTCCACAAGATCTCCCAGAGGACTCACACAGCACAAAACCACCCCTGGGCATCTCTGTTCCCACCAGGTTGGATTAGGACAACAAAGATCAGGTCAAATGAGTGATTTCTGTGGGCAAGGCCCTATGAGGTAAGGAAAGTTGACTGGGAAGAGCATCAGTGCTCAGGTCCCACGTGGCTGTTGTTTCCCAAGGAAGCAGAACTGTCTCCCCTAGGTAGTGGTGGCAGGAGGAGCAGCTCACCAGCAGGACAGCAGGTGTCCAAAGCACCTATTCCTGAAATTAATATTGTTATTTCGAATTAAAAACCACTTGTTCCTTCAATTCTGCATGCAAAAAAAAAAGCAACCTGCAGGAAAATCCCCATTTTTCCTTCACATGCCAAGGCACGGGAAAGCAGGCTTCTTTGGAATGCTGCACAATTCTCTGCCACAAACATGGGAAGAAAACAAATGAACCATAACACATGTCCCATGAAGAGGGCAGGGAGTGGCAGGGAGGCTGTGGCATAAGGCCACAATGACATTCATGAGATTATTAACATTTCCTTTCCAGCTCTAACAATCTAAAATTAGGGGTTTTTTGGACTAAGAACTGGGAGGGTTTTTTTCTTTTATTTTTGCCCTGGAAACTCCTTGCAGAAGGCCTGAGCAGGAAGGGTTCCACCTCCTGCCAGCCCCCCAGGCTCAGCCAGCAGTGCTCCATGCCAGGTCTGAAGGAGGTGACTGGCATGCTGCTCCTCTCCCAGTGCCAAAGCCTGAGTGGTGGGTGCAAGGGGCCCATCTCTGGCCTTCACGGGCTTCATCCTGACACAGCCTTGGTCCTGTGCACAGCCAGGGGCTGAGGCTGCAAAACCTGTCCTGGATGATGCTCTCAGAAGCTCCAGGCTCCACCACCACTCCAAGCAGTGGCACAGAGGCTCTGCCAGGACCAGCTCCTGTGCTGCAATGACTGCTCACCCTTCAGCACCTTGTCGCAACTGCCCAGGCAGCCTGTGGGGCCAGATTTCCAGCCCACAGCTCTTGTGTTCTAACAACAGGAGGATGTTGCCTTCTTCCTCACTTGAAGTGCACACTACTGCAGCTCATGACATATTCCAGCAGGGAATCTCCCCATCCTGTAGAGCCAGTCTCTGCCCCTCCACAACACAAACAAACAGGAAAGCACAGACAAGACATCCCTGAAGGATGGTCCTGCTACCAGGTAAGTGACAAAAAGGGGACATCATGTGCCAAATGAATTCCATCTGGGAGCCAGGAAACTGTCTTGGTGGTCTGTGCTCTCTGGGAGATCCCTGCTGGGCTAGACACCCTGGTGAGAACCACCACCTTAGGAGAGCCACCTTCAGGCTCCTTGTAACCAGGCTAAACCCTCCCCAGTTTTCTCAGACAGTTTTGCCCTGACCCAGGAGGAAGGAGCTGGAGGACAATCTCTCTGCAGGAAGGACTCACAGATGCCACCCTTGCAAATTCCCAAGCCAGAGGTACCCATCCTGGTGGCATTTCAGCTGCTGCCAGCACAGCAGCAGCAGGTTCTCCTCCCTCCCCACGCTGCCCGCCACGCTGGGAAGGCACCGCACAGCGGGTAGCACCTCCACCCTGAGCCCAAGAAGGCTCTCAAGCTCAGCCTGCAGCCCCTTGCAGCTGCAATAGGTGGAGAGGAGGGACGGGGCAGGGGGCTGCAGAGCCACCTACCACCACGTAGACAGCCTTCTCGCAGGCCGTGCCCACGGGCACCCAGCCGTTGGTCGCTCTGCGCCGCCCGATGCGCTGCTGCTTGGGGTGGCCCCCCGTGGCCTTGCTGTCCGAGGCGTGGAGGCAGCCCGGGGTGTTCCTGAGGCCGGACTTGGAGCCGCTGGGGGGCTTGGAGCTCTGCGGACACTCCCGGGCCATGGTCTGAGGGTCAGAGTTGGGGGTCTGCAGGTGAGGAACGGGCTCCGCAGCCGGCGGCACGCTGGGGACTGGGCATCCTGAGAGCGGGTGGGCAGGAGACGCGGGGTGCCCTGCCACGGGGATTGTGAGGTTCAGCTGGTCCAGAGACTTGCAGCCTTCTAGCAGAGGGGAAAGAGAAGAGGCACGGATCTCATTTAAAACAGAACACGACCACACGACCCAGACTGTCCCAACCACCTCCGTGTCCCCCTGAAACTCCCCTCGCTGTGCTACAGCAGCAAAGACTCTCCAGGCTGTCACTTCTTTTTGCACTGTCACTGGATTCTAAAAGCCAAGACACTTCCAAGCCTGCAACACTCCAATATGTTGCTGCTGCTGACACTGCACCACAACAAACCCCTCTGAAATCCCCCCGGGTGATGCCAGCCAGCAAGAGACATAAGGCTGGCCAGTGTCCAAAGCAGCTCCAGCCTGTCAATATGGATAAAAGAAATAAAAGGCTTATCAAAACGATGGGAAGGATTAAACCACACTAGCGGTGGCAGCCAGGTTCTTTCAACAAGCCAAATTCTAGTAATCAGGGAAAATTGAGAAGGTTCTCCAAAGTCACTCCAGAAATATGAAACAAGGTGGAACACAACCGTGTCAGATGATGCACGCTGCTGCCCTCAGCAGAACCCTGTCCTTACAGCAGCTTATTAACCACAACAGGTGAGTAAGCTGGCTGACACTGCCTCTCCAAAGCATCCCAGAACACCTCACACTGCTCCAGCAGCCACAGAACAAGCTCTCAACCCCGGCCAACGTGTCCAACAGAAGAGCAAGTTGGTTGGAATGACCCACCAAGAGCAGGGAAAGCTCCCAGGCCAATACCAGGCACACCCTTGCTCCCTAAATTGGGGAATGTGCTTTTTGGGGTGACCAAAAGGACAGCTTCAGGCAACCTCCAGGAGATGCCTCCAGACTGGAGCATGTCCTAGCAGATCTCTGGGACTGCACTGCTGCAGAGCTGCTAAAAAACCTCCAAGTGCAAAACCATCTGAAGTCACCAAGTGCCAGCTGATTAACTGCTGAGGTCCCCATGCAAGAACAAGAAATTCTTGCCTCCTGTCTCCCACCTGACCCCCCAAAGAGGGTCACAACCAAACCACCCCAACCTGCAAACGTGGGGCTGCTACAGACTGTCCCTGGGCTCTGCTGATGCTGAGCAGCCGCTGCCCCAGTGAGCCTTGGCATGGGGATGGGAGCTCAGCTATCCTGCCTGGCCTCAGCAGGCACAGCACCCACACAGCACTCCATCACCTCAGGAGTATTTTGCTTCCAAAAGCAGTTTTCAAGCTCAAACTAAAGCAGGATGAGGCTTCACCAAAGTACCCACTGAACTCCAGGAAGGCAGAGCAGAGCTGGCCCTGCCAGCAGCCTGGGACACTTCCAGCTCCTCTGCTCTGCTCCCAAACCCCTTGCTGCAAACCCCAGCAGGACAGGGAAAGCAGAGCAGCCCACAAGTGCCACAGTCACAGCCTGGTTGTACCAAACAGATGCTGGGATTTCCACAGGACCATCCCAAACACACCAGGTAAGACAGATGTCCCATGCGACACGCCAAGCTGCATCCCTCAGAGAAGGGCTCCCAGCCAGAGCCTGCAGCTCCTTTAACCCACTGCAGTCACCCACTCTGGGGAAGGAAGAGATTTCAGAGGGGCACACACATGTAAAAGTCAACTCCTAAGTGCAAATCTGTGTTAATGTTCTAGCAGACCTGATTCACTTCAACAAAACCAAGTATAAATTATCCCGGTGTCACAGGCTTTTCAATCAGTTTCTCACAGGGAGGGAAGTCACACCGAGGAAGATCTTAGCAGCAGGTAAACGTGTTGCTGGAACTGCCCTGACATGAGGAATCATCACTGAGCTGGCAGGGAGGGCTGAATCCAAACCCACTTGGTTTACACCACCTGCATCCCCCTGCTTGCAGGACAGCAGAGGAAGCAGAATGCAGAACTCCAGGAACAAAGTGGACTGACGTGACCTCAGGGCACTGCACAGCAAGCTGTCAGACACCAGATGCTGCTGAGCTGGGTGTCTCATGAGCTTTCAAGAGCCCCAAAGCCACCAGCCAACCCTGCCTACCGCTACCCAAGGAAGCGGCAGCACGACAGCCGGGATGTTTGGGAAAAAGACATCATCCCTTGACCAAATGCTCCTGAGTTTCTGCACCTTCCTACACGGGAAGATGACAAAGCCTCGCTCACACCAAGCACTGAACCAAGACTTCATCCACCTACCTGAACAGGGGGTTAAAGTGGGCAAGTCCTGCCTCCTTTTAACTCCAACACGTGAGGACAGAGGCAGGGGCCGAAGCAGCAGCACTGTCTGGCTTGGTGGCTTTTATACAAAGTGCTGGTGTCTGGTAACCCCCACACAACAATCCAGCTTTAAATATTTCAAAAGATAATTTTCAATAGCAAAGGCAAAGCTCCAAGATAAAGCACACTGGAGGACTGAGTCGGGAAAGCAGATGGGGACAGAAGAGAGACAGGCAAGCTGTGTCACCTCCTACCTGTTCTCACTTCAATGTCTCATTGTCAGGCATCAAGAGGAGCCAAGACAGGCTCACTCAACCCAGTGTGCCCCTCCAGCACTGCAGTGAAATTCAAACACCTGCCCACACAGCAGCCTCAAGCCCAGTCCTTACACAGCCCTGCCAGAGCCCATCCATAAAACCTGAAATGGCATTCCCCAGAGCTTGCACCAGCAGGAGTCTCACCACTCAGGCAGTGCCTGCTTCTCCACAACGCTCAGGACGTTCAGTCCAGAGTGTGAGGTTCTGGGAACAGAGCAGTGCCCCAGCCACAGGGGCTTCAACCAGTGAGGAGCCTCACTGAGCACACAGGAGCTCAAACCCCCCAGCTCCACAGATCCCAGCTGAGCAATGAACTCCAGCACCACCCACCGTGAGTCACCTCCTCACTGCCCAAACCCTTTCATGCATTCTACGGTGCCCACACCAGTAAGACTTTGAGTGGAAAAGCTCTCAGGGCTACAAACAGGGGGAGGTGAAACGTGGATCCCTCCTGAGCTGCAGTTTGGCTGCGAAGCGGAGACACAGCAGGCACAGAGGGAAGTGGCCTCCTGGCAACCAGAGCCCTCCCTTATCCCCCGTGCCCAACCAGCCCTCAGGTTTGCTGACACTTGGCACCTTACCTGCTGCAAAAGGCATTTTGTAGGGGTAGCTGTTCCGCCCGGCGTGCACGCTGCTCACCCTGCCCTCCGGCACGTGCACCACCCCGCAGACGCTGTAGCTGTTGATGGCTGTTCCCTCTCCGCAGCAGTAGGGAGAGTTACACCAGTGGAGTGGCTGGAAATGAGCACCTGATGGCAAGGAACCGGGCGAGACCAAGAGCCCCTCGCAGGTGGCAGGCTGCGAGAGCTCGTCCTTGGGGTAAACAGAGCAGTGAGAGTAGCCACTGCCACTGTACCCACTTTGGCCATAATAAACATAAAACCCGTTCAAGGGCGTCAGATCCGAGGATTCATAGAGACACCCACAACCCGAGTGATTGCCCGGCACAGGCAAGGGAGGGAACTGCTGCACGGGAAAGGAAGGCTGATGAAATTCCTGTTTGGGGGTCGGGGATTTCTCTCCGGGCCTTCCATACTCTGGCTTCATGGAAGCTTGTCCACCCATAAGCAGAGGCAGTCTGTGGTAGAACCCCTCCGTGCTGGCGTAGGAGCTCGACACCGACTCGTAAGGGACGGGCTCTGCCGTCCTGTAGAGCCTGGAGGAGTCCCTCTGCTCCCCTTTCTCCACAGCCCCCAGGGGAAGTCCTCGCCAGCCGTGCTGACCTTCCATTTTTAAGCTGGCCATTTCCTTCTTGGATTTGACACAGTTCTTCCTACCAGCTTTGGCCCACTTGAGCGTAGATTTTGAACAGTGGTTCTCAGACTTGCCCTCTCCGTCCGATTTACTCCTCTGCTTCAGGGGTTGGTCTTTCTCGTGGGTCAGCTTCAGAAAGGCCACGGCATTCAGGCTGGCCAGTCTCTTTGGGGTGGGATGATAGGAGATGGCACCATCCTCCCTCTTCGTCCCATCCTCAAAGACCTCATCCAGCGAATGGTCACAGCTATTACATTTCTGACCGGGCTCGTGCCGGCTCTTTCCTTTACCTGTCTTCGCAGCCGTTTTTTCCAGGGCCGACCAGCTGTCCCCAGCCTTGCAGTGCAGGCCCTTGGCGGGGCAGTCTGGCCCGGCCTTGCCCGGCTCCCTGCGGAGGCGCCGGGCGGACGCGCAGCCCTCGTCCCGCTCGAACAGCAGGTTGTTGACGGCCTCGGCGTTGAGCGAGGCCACCCTGCGCTGCCGCGGCTCCGCGCGGGCACTGGCCAGCTCTGACTCCGGCCCCGGGTAACTTATCGTGCACTTCTCCCCAGCTGAGTCACTCTTCCCTCCTCCCACAGGCTGAACTTTTTCGGAGAACAAAGCAGGTCCCAAACCTTCCATCCAACTGGGAAGGTCCTTTTTTTTGCAGCTCTGGCTCTGTTTTGACAGAGACCCAGCCACGTCCTCCAGCCTGGTGAGGAGCACTTTGCAGGTCTTTTTGCTCACCGAGGGGAGCAGGCGCCTGCGCAGCGGGTACGTCTTTCGCACCTCGTGCAAAGCCTTGCTTTTGTTTGTCCCCACAAACCCGCTGGGACACTTGGGAGCCCCGGGGCCATCTCCATCTCTCTGCTTGCCACGCTCCGCCTCGCTCCTGTCCATCCTCCTGCTGCCTGCTGGTGAGGAAGCTCGGCCAGCAGAACCGGCCGGGTGCTTCAGAAGGAAAAGCTGCTTCTTCCGGGCATGCGTCATAGGATCAATGTCCAATCCTGAGACCAAACAGAAGAACACAACTATTAATACCACCGAGAGGGGCCCATCTCCTCACAAAGCACCAATTAGGAAACATTCGGGGAAGCTTGTTTCCATACACAGTACAGTCCTTTTGGGTGAAGGCCAGTTAAGCCAATTAAGAGACAGGATGTAATGAGATGTGGTTTAATATTAAGCCATAGAACACGATGGTAATTAAAAATACCCCAGGAGCTGGGAAACCCAGGGCACGGCCCAAGAGACGCTCCCCACCCGAGTACCTGCCCTGTCACTCCAACCCTGCTCCTAACAAGTGCTGGTGACTCTCCCAGAGCTGACGTGAGTGCTGGACCAGGGCACCCAGCAGAACTAAAGCCCAGGTATCTGCCTGCATGTTGCTACAGGCAGGCGGCTCCGCTGTCGTCTCCTGAAACAATTAGACAAAAGAAAAGCAAAGCGTCCACCTACTCCTGTGAAAAGTGCACTTGGTCTATTAAGCCAAGACCTGCCAACATTAATAAATTAAAGACATGCAAATCCCCATGCAGGTTAGAACCTGGCTGCTCGCTGCTGCTGTCGGTCCCTACAGCTGCACCTTGTAAATGTTGTGGACATGAAACAACCAGATCTTCACATTTGGCAGAGAAGCCCTAAAAATACCCTTTTAGGAGGAAAAAGAATTACTCATCTGTATGTCATTCCTGACTTTCCATCCAGATGCTATGCCAAGGCACTGCTAAAAACCAACACAAATTACTAAAACGTAACAAGCAAGAGATAAGAATCTGCACTGGGAACAGGAGCTGCCTCGCTGAAGGCATGGCTGAGCAAACCAGCTTCTGCACATCTGGACTTTCCCAGCCAGGCAGAACATCACCCAAGTGCTCTGGCTCCGATTCACCCCCTGAGGGAACTTCTCCTGCCACGGCAGAAAGCATCCCAGCCTGAGGAGGAGGATGGCTGCCTCCCTGCACTGCATCCCAAGAGGTGTCCGTGGAAAAGTGGGGAGGAAACATCAAACCCAGAAGAGCTGGGGACAATAACTGCTGATGGCCACCAGCAGCAGAGGTGGTGTGCTGCCCAGGTCACAAACCAGCACAGCCCAGGCTTTGGGAACACACCACGAGGAACCTTCTACAAGTGGCAGGAGAAGAGCACTGAGCAGAGAGCCCCTTCAGCCATGTGCTGCCTTCACGAGTTATGCTGCAAACTGAACCTGACAGTTTTCCTGTGTCATTTTTAGCAGCTTTTCTTTACTGTGCCTTTGCACTCCTCCATTTCAGGCTGAGCTGGTGACCTGCAGCAGGCCTGTGTCAGCTATCTGAGGAATTTTGGGGTCTGAAGAAGCACACAGTCACAGGAGAAGCTCTATGTCTAATGCTAAGAGAGGATAATACAGGTGGGTGGTATAAACATTAAAAAAAAATAATCAGTCTAATGGAGTGATATTTGAATAGACTTAATGAAGTCTGTACCTGAGCATTGGCAACAGCAGAGAAGGACAACTGCTCACGCTGAATGGTAGGCATGAAACAGTCAGGTTCCCTTTGTTGGCATCAAAGACTCAGTCTCCATATCAGCACCAGCCCAGGGGTGGTTTGACCTCCCCTGCAGGCAGGGGCTTGGCTGGGCCAGCTCTCCACTGACACTGCTCTGCCACTTCTGAGCCTCTTAATTAAAGCTACTACTGCTTTTGCAGTGATTAGAACAAAGCTACTGAATTACAAGAACTGTTCATTTGATATGGTTTAATCAAGCTGATAATTAGATTATCTATTTGAAATAAGCCCAGTGTGTTTTAATTGACTTGCTTATATATGCATTAACTAAAAGAAATCTAGGAATTGAAAACCACTGTGGTTTGCACGTGGCTTTTATCCATCTCAGACTCCTCCTGACCTGTTCTAGGGTAACTGGCCCCTTTCATCCCCTCACACACAGGGTACTGCCCATGGCCAGTGCCCAAACAGGGCAGTGGGGCTCTGTGAGAAGCAAACACTTACGCATATCCATGTTTTTCTGGTAAGAAAAACAGAATCTGGAAATGAGGAGGACCAATATCAAATCAGACAGGTTGTTTCCTCCAAGATCAGAACTTTTCTTGCACAAGAGGCCAAACTGGCCACACACAACCTCTGCAGTTTGCAAGAAAACTGTGATTTAAAAAAATAAATCAGGCAGAGCAGGGTTTGGAGTGGTGGACCAGGCATCCTACAGAGCCATGCCCTGGGGAGGATAACTTTTCCCAGCTGTTTCCTTGCAGCTCTCATCTTAATTTCTGTTGTCCCTCGTGAGAGCCCAGGCCTGTGGCAGAGGTGCTCAGCAGAGACAAACCTCAGACCAACAGCCTGTGTCTTGCCCTCAGACCAACACCTGCCACCTCCGTGTCCTCCAGCTCTCACCTGCCTTCTCCCCACCCAACCCCCTTGCTGGGGCTTAGCAGCCCATTAGCATGAGTCAGAGCATCCACCAAAGCTTGAGCTCTGCAGACATGTCTGTTCATTCCACACCTGCTCCAAAGGTACAGAGTCCAGCAGAAGAAACTGAAGGAAGAGGATTTTTCCAGCAGTAAAGCCCAGTCAGTAACAGCAGTGACCATCTTCCCTGACTGACCCCATTAGGAATGCCAAGACAAACAACAGCTTAAATAAAATACTTTGTCTGGAACCTAAGCATAGGAATGCTTTAAGCAGCAGTACCCAGAATGAAAACTGATTGATTTTTCCTCTTTTCTACATACATTTCCTGTATGTGTGAGAAACCCCCAGCTCTCCAAAGCTTAACTTGCAGTGTAAAGAGGTATCAAATCAGCATCTTGCTGTGCTGTGACACAACTACAGCTACTGCTCCAGCCCAGCTCTCACCCCCAACAGGCTGCAGCCAGGATCCTCAGGAGAAACACTCCAGCTGAACATGCCAAGGTGACAAGAGACATGGAGCCAGAAACTCACCAAAGCAGGAAAAGCCTCACCATTAAACACCACCTGTTTTAAGAGCCTCAGTCACACAAGTTCCCAGGCACGACAGTGATCACACAACCACAGGCAGAGGGGGGTTTGTTTATTATTTTTTAATAAAAGGAGGTGATGCCTGCACAGATCTCCTTCTTAGCATCTGCTCTCTCCCACACTGGGAGGTCAGCTGCTCTAACACAGCACAGCACTTATCTACAGATGAACAATTAAATATCTGGAAATTCGTGGAAAGACAGCACAAGCCAACCCCACAACCCCACTTTCGTGGAAAGACAGCACAAGCCAACCCCACACACTGGCTTTAGAGCCAAGCCCATCCTTCAAATGCCAGACAGGACACACCAGTGCAATCCACCAACACTTCCACATGGCTGCAAGCCCTCTGAAGCCCAGCTTCACTGCAGAAACACAGGACAACATGCAGAAATACAACCAAAGGGACTTAAGCAAATGCAGACATTGACCTCATTCTCAAAAATTGCCACGATGGATTCCTTGGCTAAGCGAAAACAAAACCAATCAGCCAAGTTTCTCCCTGATCTACTCAAGTTTGGAGACCACGAGAAGCTCATTCTTTCAGATCACACACCACTAAAAACAAGAAGCCCCAAGTCAGGTGAATTTTGTCTCCAAACACACGACCTAGTCCCTTTGGCTTCGTGCTGGCTCAATGGTGGCAGCACATCCTCAGCAGAAAGCAGCCAATTTTGAGTGGATCAGTTAAAACAAGGGTAAAATGGTTCAGTTTCTACCCAGGGAACTTCCCCGTGGTATCACCACTATAAAACACCTGCCATGAGCCACACAATTGTTTGTCCTCTCAAGTCCTTTCTCTGACACAATACTCTGGAGATGGGAACAGCCAGTTTAGCATCTATAATAAACCTTGTTATTCCAGAGCCACACACACTGTGAATTCATTACAAACCAGCATGACCAGTGAGGGAGCAGTTGGCTCTGTGTCCCACAGAAGCCAAGTGAAATGTTTTAGCTCCATTCCTCACCATCTCTCTCACAAACTCTCTCACCTCTCAGCAGAAGTCACTCTCAGCCTGAGGAATCTCGTGCATTTGTGTGTTCTCCATGGTTTGTGACACAAAGGTGCAGAAAGAGCCACCCTGAGTGCTGTGCTGAGGAGGCCTGGCTGCAGGACAGCTCTAGAGATGTCACTGCCAGCTTTGGAGCTTTGTTGTAACCAGCGTGAATAAAAATCCCAACCTAACTCCCATCCCCACAGCAAGCAGGCATCAAATCACCTTGCTAGCATGCTCTATTGATCAAAAGTCACCTTTAGCACAAGCTACCAAGAAGTCTCTCCACGCCCACACAACCACCTGCAGTGCCTGGGATGCTTTGCTGGAGGGATGTTCCTGCTCATTTTTCTTGGCAAACAGCACTGAGCAGCTAAAGCTACCAGCTTACCTGTTATCTAGTTTTCTTCTTCCAGCATAACCAGAAGCAGAGCTTTTGAACACTGCTCAGAACCAAGCCATCTGATAGTCAAGTGTATGATGTCCCCAGATCAGAGGCACAGAGAGTTTGCTTACAGCTTCAGCTGGGAAGGGGGTGTCAGGGCTTTTCATCCTCTTCCCACCTTTGCACTGCTTCCCAAAGCAAAAGAAAAACCAGCTGTGCCCAGAAGTTTCCAGGAAATCACAAAACAATCTGAAGAACTGAAAGTGAAGATACTTAAGCCAGAATCACCCATTTACTTCTTGCAGCCGAGGAATGGGATTCAGAGTGAGGAGATGTTCAGGTACAACTATCGGACACGAAACGAGCTCAATCAAGCAGGTTGGTCTAACCAGCTGCAGCCAGAGCCCAACAAGCACTTTCAGGCTAGCTGGAATCACTGCCTCCTTCCTTGTTCTAAAATACCCACTTGACAGCTGTTGAACCCAAACTATATCAGAATGAAGAAAGATTTAAAAAAACTCCAACACTGGTTCAACTTTCTGCTAGAATAAAACCACTACCCAAACAGCAAATCAGAAGAGAGCTGATGCCTCATTAGTAGGAAAATAA